TGAGTCCTCAATGGGCTGTTTGCAGGCAAATTTTGCTACAAATGTATTTTGGAACAAAGAAACATTTTCCTGATTATTTGCATTTGATAGCATATTGGGTGCTTTACATGTCCTCAGATTGTTTCATTGGGAATCAAGTTGATTCTTTTTAAATCTAATATATTCAGCATTATGTCCCTGGTACTGATTTTACAACATAATGCATTTTAAAGAAACAGAAATACTTCCTGTGAGATAGATCTCTGCCTGTCTGTCTGTCTGTCTGTCTATCATCTATCTAATCTAGCTATCATCTTTCTCTTCCATCTATCACACAAACACATACACAGCAATGGACAATTTTCTGGAAAACTTTTCACCATGGATAGTTTTTAAAAAAAAAAAAAAAAAAAATCTGATTCAAATCTTTGTAAGTAGCCCAGAGTCATTTGACAAGAGGGCAGCCTAGAAATGGAAAAAAATAGATTATTTACCTTTTCCTGATACTGTCGCCGTGAGGAATCCAAAGACTGGATAAGGGCAGTGGCGTGGCCGATGAACATGGCATAGCACGTGGCACCAACGATCATGCTTAACATGGTGAGCCACACATCAGACATGCCCACTGGGGCTTGCTGTCCGTAGCCGATACATAGCATGTGACTCATGGCCTTGAACAGCGCATAGGAGTACTGCTTCCCCCAGGAGTCATTCTAAAGAGACAGACAGACGAGAGTTACAGGAAACGAGATGGACAGAGTTGGGAATGTGAGACTACCTTCCTCTGCACACGGGGGCACATCAGCTCATGTCTGAAGGGTCAGGGATAGTAAAATGGGCACCAAGCCTTACCTTGTTAGTTCGAAGCAGGGAAGCACCAGTATCTGCTACTGGTGAGAACCACTGAGGCTGGGACCTCAAGAACAGGCAGTTGCAACCAGCTACCGTTCTAGTTTCTCATAATGCACCTGACTAGCATTTGTCTGGAGCAGTGGGGTCCATGCGGGAGGGGGGTGTCCAAAAAGGCAAGATGGTGCTCACAGCAGCACAATCAAAGCCTTGCCCATGTTTTTTGGGGATACTTCCACCCCCATCGGTGCCACTGGTCTGAAGCGTGGGGACAGAGCTCTTGTGTGGCTTGGAATATTGTCCTAGATGGGTGAACGTGCTCTTGAAACCTGGGCTGATCTTCCTGAGGATTCCTTCTTTGGCCTTCCACTTGCTTCTAGAGTAAGTGTCTGTATCTCTAGATGGACAAATACAGGAGGTTTCTGAATGCAGTGCTAGCAAACACAAAGATGTCCTCATAGACAGACACGAAACAACATGTAATCTCAACATGATCCAGAAATCCAAGGCACCTTCTCTATAGCCTCATAAGACCGTTATTTCCTAAGAAAGCAGGTCCAAGACTCTTTCTTCTATTAACTGGAATTATTTCCCTTCAAATAACTCCGTGGAACACCAGCACCTTTTTTTCACTCAGTAGAGGGCATTTTCTAAACATTCTGCATTTTACCATCAGTTAAACTGCATCAGCAACATTATTGTCCTATTCTGCTACAGGCACCTGTCTGCTGGGGCACCTTCTTGAGTTACGTCTTTCCACTTAATCTTTTCATGCTTTAAACTATCCTTTTGTTCACCTGATGAGAATGACCCACACCAAGGACGGTGAGGAATATTGATCATTTTGTACTCCAGATTAATTCACTCAATTAAATGATGATAAATGAATTGTTTCTCCTGAAACCTCAGATGGCACCCCGGAGCTGAGATAAGTCTCCAACTGGTTTAGACTGCTACAGTAATATCAGATATTTCTTGAAAGCACATACACACGCAGGAATTCAGAGGAATCAAGTTGCCAGCTTTTACAAGAAGCATTTTGTATTTTAGCAGCCCAGTACAATCACCAGCCTCCTTTTAAAATGCTATTTGAACAAGCACAAAAAGTTGTCAGCACTTAGGAGTGTGTTAATATTCCCCATTTTTAACTTCTAGATTCCAAACAACACTTCATTTATGGAGCTAGGATGGGGATAGCTCCATTTTGCAACAAAAATTCTTTGGGTTTCATGGCTTAGGACTTCTTTTCTCCTTCCCTCTGGTCTTCCTTCTCCGATGAATCAACGGATGATCCCAGCAATCAGGGTTCATAGTAAACAGGTTAGCATCATGCTGGTTTCTCCCATGCTTCCACATTTTCCAGGAAGTCCTTAGTATCCCACAGACCCTTGGCACTAAGAAACCACTGACAAGGCTTTATAGCATCAGTAGTCCCACTCCATCATTCATCAAATGTACATGCCAGGCCTTTGCAGTAAGTTCTTGCTTGCTTGCTTGCTTTATTTATTTATTTAGAACATGTATATGGCCCCCAACTCAAACAATGGGACTTTGGGCACTGTACAAAAATCCCTAAACTAGTAGTGATTTTCCAGCTGTTCTTTTTCTTGAAGGACTCAGTGGGAAAAACTGAGCAATTGACTAGGTTTGGGTGTTCCATGTCAACAACAGGGAATTAGTTTGACCCTATGCAAGGCTGATTCTATCTGGTTCTTAATTTAACTAAATTTAAATTTACTTCAACTAGTCCACTGATCCCTTTTTGAGGTTTCCACCACATATTCACCCCACCCGCTGATCCAGTGAGCACATTGTAGGAGCAGGCCCTCAGGTTGGTAGGTCTAGAAAGAATAAGTTAGGTCCTTCTGAGCTTGTCTCAAGGCTGGGGGACCTTTTGGATTACAGTGGTACCTCGGGTTACGAACGCCTCTGTTAACGAACTTTTCGGGTTACGACCAGCTCCGGCTGCACAAATTTACCTCAGTTTGCGAACTCCGCCTCGGGTTATGAACTGGATCCACGGCCATTTTCCCTGCTTCCACACAGTTGCGGCTTCCTGTGGGCGAGATCGCGGTAGCAAGGAGACGTTCGGTGAGGCTTATGGTGTGTTTTGTGGCGTTTTGGAAGGTTTTTGGTGTGTTTGTCAGCATGGCTCCAAAGAAAGTAATTTGCTTCGGGTTGCGACCAATTCGGGTTGCGACCAGTCACGGAACGGATTAAGTTCGTAACCCGAGGTTCCACTGTATTATTATATTTGATACAAGCGGCAAACACTGCTGCTGTTTCTTGATGAAGTCACTTCTCTCAAGGGCATCAGTGGAAAGTTACTGAGCTGTTTCTCCTCATTTCCCAGCCACTGTCTTAACATCATTTCTCAAAATCAAGTAGGTCCAGCCAGGTTTTGTTCCTGGGAAACAATGTGTGTGCCATTCAGGCAGGACAGGAACAGGCAAAACCTTGGGACTGAGTTGTCCTGGGGACAGTGTGGTCCAGCATGGACAACATTCCAATCTTTGACTAGACAACCCAACGAAAGGGAAATGTATATTCAAAGAAATGCAACTTCAGAACACCACAAAGAGTGAGGTCTTCCTAAGCATCATCCTGTCTAAGTGAACTTTGCAAACAAAGGAGGTTGGGGTTGGGGGGCCACCAAGATGCTAGGGCCATCTTGGTAAAGAAGTGCAGGTAGGATCCCAACATTGCCTCATTCCCACAAGCATCAAATCCTTGACAGGAGGGTCAAAAATTGATAATATTTATCTCTTAGCATAAAATGATCACATTTCTCTCTCATCCTCCCTCTGGAAGGAAAAACCCAAACAGCTTTAAAAAAAAAATGGGGGAATGAGAGAGAGAGACAAACTGAGATCCAAATAAATCTGGAAGTCAAGTCAGGGTGGGACATTAAGGCAGTTGTCCAGAACCCCGCTCAAAAGAATGAACAGAAGGGTCTCTAGGTGTGAAAAGAACCCATCGTCATCTCAAGATATCCTCCACCCACCATTAAGATAATTTCAAGTAGGTTTAGATGTACATGTTATTTAAAACAAGGGCCATTTTTAAGCCATCTGAATCAAGAGAAGAAGTGTGTGTTGTCATCTAAGGAGACATCTCCATATAAAACTGTTAGAGAGGAACCCATGACAGACCCTGATTTTCAAAGCCTAAAATGTCTTGAACACATCCAAAAATTCATATTCATGCCCTTTGATCTGAATGCTATAGATATGAAAAGAATAAACTCTGCACAGCCTCAGAGTCACATCATCTTTCATTCATGGCTAGAGGTAGCTGAGACAGTATTTATTGGACTGGTTGTGCCCCTGTGTGGATCAATCATTCTGGATTTTATTTGTTCTACTTTGAGCCTTGGAACTTCTATTTTTAGCTTTCCCTTCCTTCATGGAGCTTCAGACAATGCACATTCCTTCCTCTTTTATCCTCCTAACAAACTTGCAAAGCAGGCCAAGTAGAATGAGAGGAATCAGCCTCTAGATCTTCCAGGAAGGGTTGAGAAGGAATGTCAATCCCAATCCCTACCAATTCCATGCTTTAACACCTACACCACACCTGTTTGCAAAAATCTGCATTCTCTTGCCTGATCTGTTCTGTGCACAGCGTCCACACTGGGAGTTGTGGAGAGCTGATGGCACTTCAAAAATAGATCCCTCTTTTAATAAACAGATTGTTCCTGCGGCAAGATGACACATCTCTACTGCTGCTTCTCTAGGAGAGGTGGCAAATGCTATTTTGGCTCGGTGCCAATGCAACTATTTCAGCGGGGGTGGGAGGGGGAAGAATCTGCCCTTCACATCTGAGAGTGGAGACAGGGGTGGCCACTTGTATCTACACACACTCTCTCACACACGTGAAGGAAATGCAGGATGCAAACAAAGGGCAAAACAATGATAATTTAAACAGAAGCACAATGCCTTTTCAACATAAGGACTGCAAATAGGTGACTAGGGTACCAGTTGCTCAACCTGCAAATCAATCTGTGAAGACAGAGGCCTAGATGTCAGACCCTGACCAAGAACAATGGTGAAACAGTCCAGTTGAGTTCAGTTCCTTTATTTGCTTACACCTTATAGACAGAATCTTGCCAAACTCAATCTATACTACAGCAACTAGGGGATCTACCCTGGGAGATTCTAGGGAGGGGCTATCCTGAACCTCTTTCACTTCCCATACTCCCCTTGAGGACTGTATTATCTTTTGTTCCCCTCCTGGAATGCAACTCCTCCCTCCTGATAGCCTTGATCTCCCACATCAATCTCCTCCTCGTAGATACCTTCTGTCACACCAGACTACCTATAATCACACCATTATGCCATCTGGGGGCCAGATTCAGAGCTACTACAAAAGCAGTGCATCTACTATGTCTGTGGACATCCTAGCTTTGATCTCTACCAACCACAGGAAGGGATGAGGAGGGCCCCCTTAAAGTCCTGGAGCTCCTGTTTACAGTCAGTGTCAAATGTGTTCAATGGTCCAAGGTCTGCCCTGGAATAAGAAGCTTCTCATGTTCCTTCACAAAGAGAGGTTACTCACTGTGGAGCCGTGTTTGCAGCAAGGTTTTTTGTTTCCAGTCTAAGCAAGAATTCAAGAGTTCTAACGTTGTCTTGTCCTCAGTCTAAACAAGAACTCAGGGGTATGGAGACAGCCTTTTTGTGCCATTGCAAAAACCACTGAACCTTTGAATCCATTCAGAAGCATCCAAACGGATTTGACCATTCAATCTACTTGACTGAGAGATCTGATCAAATCACTGTGAAATCAAATCTCCAAACTGGAACTTTGCCCAGCTGTGCAAATTGGAGTTGGTTCTGCTCACCTGTCATAGATAACCCTGGATTTTCATTGTGGTTGCTTTTCAATGCCCACCTGAGAAATCCTTTCAAGCATAACAACCAGCCAACTGGGACACCACAAGCATCACCAGTTACAAATATCTACAAATGGCCACCATCACCCTAATACAATGAATCCAGGCATTCATCATTCATGGATGTTGGGGGAGGATATTCATCTCTGACTGCCATGAATAATGAAATCCTGAAAAGACAAATATCACTTTTAGTTATTCTGTGGACTCTGGTGTGGTCCAAAGTCCAACGTTTGACTAAGTGAGAAAGCATTCAATTGCCTTGTTTACCAATCTTCCTCTAAACTGCTTCCTCCAGTCAACATTTCTTAATATCCTTGAAAAGTCAGCTAGAAAATGTTCTTTGAGTCAAGAGTAGCCTGTGTGCTCAGAAGCTGCACTCCAAAATGGGCCAAATCAAGAGAACAACTAACGTTGATTGATCTGAAATCTGAAAGTAATTTCACTGAAATGAATGAACTATAGCCAGCATGATCACTCCTCCATTTTCATTTAATGTTACAATTCAGCAGCACACTTCAGGCACCTCCCAAGGCTTTGCAGGGAAGGCTGTTCACCGCCATGGGTCTTAAGACATGCATCCCTGCATTAGAAACTCATCTCATTGATTTGTGTCCAGAACCTCAATACATGTCCAAAAAACCAGGGAGGCTGCTTCTGGCTCCATCTCAACTCTTTTTCTTAACCTGCCCAGAGCAGAGAAGACTTGACTAAACCAGGCTTTTGGGGCCAATCTAAAGCCCAAAGTAGTTGCCAATCAGTTCAACCAATCCCTCCTCCCTTCCCCAAATGGCCCCATAAATTGTAACATGGAGTTGGGGAATCTGCTCAGCTACAGCTCCCAGCATCACTAACCATTTGCCAAGATGGCCGGAGCTGCTGGGAACTGTAGTACAACACCATCTCAGTTACACAGCTTCCCAGCCCCTGAATTAGGTAGAATTCTACCTAAAGGGTTCATTCATAAAATACGATGAACTTTGGAAGCTGAGGTGGGAGGAGGAGGGCACCATTTATTTATTCCCCCTCCTCACATGTTGATGTTCATTCATTCATTTCTAAATAGGGCTGAGATCGTTTCCTGATGTCAGGTGCCCTGAAGTAACATACCACAGGAAGATATGAGGGTAATAATAATAATAATTTTATTATATTATATTATTATATATAATAAATTACTATTGGTACTATCTTTGCTTTCTTTTGCCGTAGTCATTCTACTTCTATTTGAATAATAATAATAATAATAATAATTATTATTATTATTATTATTATTATTATTATTATTATTGTGGGTTGCACAGTCAGCAAGATGCTTAGACTGGATTTGGCATTATTATTATTATCATCATTATCATTATTATTCCTTAAAGTGCTCCTTCTTTTTCCTCTCTTAAAACCACAAATCCTGCCATTCAGGAAGGCTGAAGGAAAATCATCTTCCTTCACCAAACCAATGTGGAAGTATTTTTAGGCTGCAATCGTGCCCTAATCTAGACTTCACTTTTTTAGAGGGTATAAATTTAGATTGACTTTCATCGCCTGGGTGTGCCAGCACGTGTGTGAACTGGTTCCCAGAGCTTTGATCATTTGGGCTTTTTTCACCCAACCTTTTTCATATATGCCTTGGTAATCCATACCTTATATCACCTATACTCTCGTTCACACTCCATCTGTGTGAAGTTGGTGCCTGGCAGAGAAACCGCACGCATTTTTTCCCCTTAATAATTCTTAGACAAATTGATGAAAAAGAATTGGCTGTGGAAATTTCTTGCAAAGAATGGGGATGAAATTCATATGGGTGGAATGTCCTATTTTTGGGCTTATCGTGGCACAAGGGAGCCATGGAATGGGTGCAAAATGTCCTGCCTCTCTCTGTATAGTCCTCTCTCTATCAGTCTGCAGGCCACTCACATTTCTGTAAAACCCAAGGAAAGGTATCATTAGGCACTTCTTTCCATGGGGCTCTTCCAGATTAGGAACTGTGGGCAGGTAGGCCGACAACAAAATGATGGAAAGATGTCTAACTAAAAATAGTGTTTGTCGTAGGCCTCTGTGCCACATCTAAGGTGAGAGCCCACTCAGAAGCACCACCTAGAAAAATCTGGAAACAATTCTCAAGCAACCTGAGAATAAGCTAGAAGAACAGGTGCCTCAACATATCATGATATGGAAAAAGGCCTTTTGCAATTGCAAAAGGAAGTGAGTTCTTGATCTTCAGCTTCCCATGGTATCAACCTAACCCATATTTTGATTGCAGCTCTCCAAGGAAGATGGATAAAATGACAGCTCATAAATGTAAAGGTTGGATGGGAATTTGGAGAACATCTAACCCTGTCCCTACTCAATGCAGGTATGGCCTCCTACAGCATCTCCCAAAGGTGACAATGCCTTTTCAATAGAGTCAGAAGGATTAAGCTTCAGTTTAAAAGACCTCCAGTGAAAGAGAGGCCACTACCACCTGAGGAAATCTGTTCTACTGTTGATCAGCTCTTACCTTAGGAAATTCTTTCTGGTGCCCAGCCAAACTAATCTTCTTTGTAATGTAAGCCCATTGTTTCTGGCCCTGCCCGCAGGATCAACTCTGAACATTTCTGTCCCTTCTGTTAAACAACAGCCCATCAGATGCTCGAAGGCAGCTATCATGTCTCCCTGCAGTCTTCTCTTCTCTAGATTAAACATGCCCAATGCCTCCAACCATCCCTGGTTAATTTTTCCTTCCAGATACATTGGAAGTTATGATTGGAATGGACAATAAAGGCTTTTTTTTTTTTGCAAGAATCAAGGAAGACCCAGAAATGAGGGGAAGGCCCTGTAAAATATGGGAGATCTGCCCACCTTCCCAGGGAAAAATAGGAGCCATGGATACATCAGCCTGGTCCCATTGCTTGAGCTTAGAAAGCCCAACTATAAGAAATCACTGGGCTTTTCAAAAGCCAGAGGACCTGAGATTCCAGAAGTAGGAGGCAAAACAATATCCTGGCTTCTCTCATAGTTATACACTTTGCATGTTTGCCATCTACCGCAAGCCACTTTAGAAAACGTGATCAAAAGGTGGGCTTCTTAGACAGAAATCAGGGAATGCTTCAGCTCTGTTGAGAGCACCAGACGTGGTTAAGCAGGGCCAAGCAGTTCTGTGCAGCCAACCAGGCTTTCAAAAACTTACCACCATGCGATTCAGCGACACCCAGCAGTCCCCTGGAAAGTCTTGGAGCATGGGCACCAGGAACTGGAGACAACCATCCCAATGGCATAGTAACAGCATCATGCCAATCAAGTTGACGATCCGTACCACAGCACTGGCCAGGTCGTAGGTCATGTGGAAGATCTAGGAGAAGAGGATTATCCAGTGAACCCTAGAGATGCAACCATTTTTCAGAATACTCTCTTATCATTATAGGTTCATGGGGTCAAAGAGATGTGAGAGCCACTGTGTGGTTTGCAAAAGTAGCTTCCAGGCAAAAATTTCTGAAAAGAATAAATTCTGAAAAGGGAGAGCAAGGCTGAGAAGTTCACTGCCAACAATACAGAAATGTTGAGTCATTATCTTCTTGGGATGGTAGACTTCTCAAGCTAGACCACACAACAAGCCAGTAGGCCAGAGGATTACTGGCCTGACCTCACCAACAGAGCTTCCTGGCTCCATGGAGGAATCTAAAATTTCCAAATCCAGTCCATCTCTCTAACCACCACACTACATTCTGAAGTACCAGCTCCACTTAAAGAATAAGTCCATCCAGTCTACAGCCCTCTTTTAAACAAAAACACATTGGAAGCATTTCATGGTGCTCCAAGAGACGGCAGTTTCCAAGACACAGCCTTGGTGCAAATAGCCTCGAGTCACAGGCATATACTGACAAGACAGCTGGGTTTCTACACTGCCAACGATCAGAACTGGCAAGACCCGTCTGAGAAAGATCTCTTGCTTGTGGAGAAGAAGTTGATGTGGCAGGGTATGGAAGTGTTGGAAATGTAACTGACTTATTTACATGGACATCCCAGCCAAACCTGCCCAGTTGCCAGGCAATCCCTTTGTTCAAGTGACTTATTTTGTCCACAAGGTAGAACTGTTCCTTCAAAGCACTACAAACGTCAGCCGAGGCAGAGGTGCTGCGTTGTGTGAAAGGCAGGAGTTAACATCCCTTTAGACATTAAGCAACTCACAAAGGCCACCTGAAAAAGGCTTTGCAATTCTCAACACAGTCATTGCCCTCTAGGAGAAATAACATCACCAAAATCCTCTCCCAAGAGTCAGATTAAATTTGAGTGCAAACTTGGGCTGGCCCAGAAATATAAATATAAATATAAATATATATAATACACTCCTGTCTGCCTTTCTGAATCAAAGTGGTACCCAATGGTACCCGAAATCAGCTAAATTATTTTGGCATGTGAGATAAACAACATCGCCCCCCCCCTCAAAAAAAATCAAACACATTTCTCTTCATGCCTGGAAGTAAAATTAGAAGGACAAAATAACTAACAGAGGGTCACAGTAGATGGCAGCAGCTAACCAGCCTTGGCTGATCTTGAAGATGCTAAGTAGGGTCCAACCTGCTACTTACTTAGATGGGAGACCATGAAGAAGTCCAGGACTATAAGCTAGAATGAAAAGTTGAAGATCAGTCTAGAAGACAGCAACAGCATTTGTATCGTTGCCATGAAAGGCACAGGAACATATCCATGGTATCACAAAGAGGCCACCTTGACTTAAAAGAGATGTTACCTTTTCTGAAGTAATGGGTTCCTTGCGATTCTTTTATGATATCACCGACTGACACTCTCTTTAATGGCAGAGCCTGCCCTGATACAAATCTATCCCACTGAGGTTTTTCGTGTGTGCGTGTATGTTTTACCAAGCAAATCGCTTATTTTTTAAAATTAATCTTTATTTTAGAAAAATGTAAAATACCAAGATACGCTAAAAGGACAAAAGTAAACTGAACAATCCTTAAACTTAAAAAAAATGATAGAAACCAGAAAAAGAAAAGAGAAGGAAAAAGATGACCAACTAAAAAAAACAACAAAGTACCTTAGATATTAAGCTTGCAAACAGTTACTGATTTACTAATAAATATAATATAATGCTATAGTATAAACAGATACAAAATATTATTGTAAAATATTGTGACATCTCTGCCAAAGAAAAGCATGTTGCTTCATCCTTTGATTGATTAGTGGAAAATATGGCCTTTTCCAATATAGGTAAGTTGTACATTTCCAAAAGCCATTCCTTAACACCTGGAGTAATATCACTTTTCCAATTTCTCAATATTATTCTTTTAGACACCCCCATGCACGATGTAACCGTAATTCCTGACAAATAATCAAATTCCGAAGTTTTGATAATAATTCAACATCACTCTAGACTAGGATTAAAAAAGCGGGTTAATTTGTGATTCCACGTGTTTCATTTGCCCTCGCCTGGTGTATGAACGAGATGATCCTTGTTAAGCTGTAAATTGGTTTCATACAATTATATGAAAACAGCAACTGTGTGTGTCTGTAACCTGAGTTTAGCATAGTGTGGGAACCCAGCTGAAAAAAATAAGTTTAGCCCTTAACTAAATGGGCAGTAAAAACAGGTTTTTTTAATTTTTGTTTTTATTTTTACTTTTTTGTGGCTTTGAATCAGTCTTGACTCCTGGCAACTGCCTGGACAAGTCCCTGCAGTTTTCTTGGCAAGGCTTTTTGGAAGTGGTTTGCCCCTGCCTTCTTCCTAGGGCTGAGAGATGGGGACTGGCCCAAGGTCACCCCGTTGACTTTGTGTCTAAGAGGCACTAGAACTCATGGTCTCCCAGTTTCTAGCTTGATGCCTTAACCACTTAAGCACTACCCATGCTGGCTCTCACTACCCAAAACAGAGAAATTATTAAGAAGGTAAGAGAAAGGACCTTAAAATGTTGCAACGGTTGAGACATGAACACTACCACTGTTTCAGGGGCATCTACAGGATCAGGGTGTGGAATATGTAGGACCACAAAAGAGGTCCCAGCTGGTTTAGTGCCAATTTGAGGGGATGTATGGACAGATGGACAGACGGATAGACGGATGGGCAGAGCAGCTGAAAAAAACAAGTCTTTCTATTAGAGAACCACCCTGCTCCACACTGCCTACCCCTATCATCTGTCCATCTGTCTCCTCATCCGTCGGTCTATCCATCTGTTGGTCAATATGTCCATCCGTCTGTCCATCTGTCCATCTGCCCATCTGTCCATCCATCTGCTGGACAGATGGACAGACGGACAGATGGACAGGCGGATGGACAGATGGATGGACAGATGGACAGATGTCTGCAAATGTCTTTCCAGGGGTGAGTACCCTTTGCTTTCACCCCTGCTGGCTGGAGATGATGAGAACTTCCACTCAGCAACATTTGGAAAGCCACCTGCTAGGTACCCATGACCAGTGACAATTCAGGGCAGCCTGGAAACTCCTAATTTTTTTCTGTGAAAAGTTGTTGGCTACATCTTTTCCCTTTTCCCCAACTCTTTCTAGTAGCAGCAGCTGCTTTGAGAGTTTGGAGGGAAAGGAACTCTGCCAATGCACAAGCTGGCTTGTGCATTCTGCTGGCAATATTGCTGATACTGCCAGTCACCACTGGCACAGATGTCTCCCTTCTCATCATTCCTCTCTCCCTCTCCCCAGACTTTGTGCCAAGTGTCAGTCAACCAGGCAGATGGATTCAGCTGCCCCCAGCCCCAGGCTTCTCTCAATTAGAGAAGCAAACCTGCTAAAAAACAAGAAGGAAGGAAGGAAGGAAGGAAGGAAGGAAGGAAGGAAGGAAGGAAGGAAGG